TAAGGTATTGGTTTTTTTTAAAATGTCAATCTGCCTTATTTCTATTGACGGCAGCCCATATAATAGATACAGATCAGTGATAAATAAATTACGTACGTATGTATGTATCAGGTATAGAATAGGAAGCAATAGTTCAAGATCTATAAAAAATATCTAACGTATTAGGCCCAGAAAGACCAAAAGTTGATGGCGGATTTGAAAGAGATTCCAAAGAAAATATTTTTAAACAAATGAATAAAGTTTCTTTATTCATGACAGAATTACTGAAAAAAGAAAATGATGTACTTGCAGCTTTACAATCTTTAATTTACGAGAGTCCACCTGAAGGTATTTTAATCTAAAATTTGAATAAATTTTATTTTAGAATTTAACTAAAAATCTTTTATATATGAACTATAATGATGATAAAAATAAAGTTGAAATAAATTCAAATATCACTTTACTTCTTTGGTTATTGTCAAATCCAGCAAATTTATAGCAAATGCTTGCTTTCACAATACAAACTATATTAGCATCAAGTGCTATTATAGGTGTTATTAATACACCTGTAAATATATACTGTATTCTATATATATAGATATATGTATTTAATATCAATAATAATAATTTATTCAATAAGTTTCTATAAGGTTCTGCTCAAAATCCTATCACAAAGGAAGAATGGAATTAGTGAAAAAAAACAAAAAAGCCTGAGGAGAACTAGAAGAACTTTTTGCAGTTACCTCATACTACATACTGAACTTATCGAGTAAGTTTATATCTTGCTTTGTCTATATATAAATATATATACATAATAATTATTATTATAATTTTATATACATACAGAGAAATTTGTGTGACAGGTTAGAGGCTAGTTGCCAAAAGAGCAAGTATGCATTAGGTCAGACACCTGGCAAAATTAAAACAATAATCAATAATATACATATTGCAGTAGACATAATTATTATAATTTTTAATTATTGTTATTATTATATACTTGTACTAATAATTATTTACTATTAACTAGTTTAAATATGAATTTCTAACATTTTCTATTTTGGTTAGAGATTTTGTCTTATAAAAAATTTCTGAGAATATTCTTGGAAATTGGGGTAAATTTTTTTTTTTCAATTCTAATACAATATTAATAGTCAATAATTATAATTTCTCATAGTAGAAACTGAATGCAAGAAGAAGGTCAAAGAAGCCTATAATAAAGAAATTTTACCACCTCCAAAATATAAAAATATCACTCCCCCTTCAAGAATTAAGAAAATGGTATTGACTACTTTATCAACATTATTAAAATTTCACCAAGCACTAATATTACATCTCCTACTACCAATTCAATTAAAATTGATAGTAATGAGGCTGGAGATAATATTGATACTTTATCTAAACTACTAGAAACTGATGATGATACTAGTACTGAATTACATTCATCAA